ATATTCTTCTTCTTCTTCTCTTCTTCCTCTTTCTCAACATCAGCCTCGGATTTCAACACAGCACATCATTTCGCAAAAAGGGGGCTGAGCGTTAATCATACGCAGGCGGTTACGCTGGGGGTGATTGGCGCGTATGTGGTTGTTATTGCGTTGTTGTGGAATTTGCCGTATGTGAGGTGGGTGTTGTGGCCGTTTAAGGTGAGTGAGTTTTGTTGCTTTGTTGTTTGTGGGGGGGGGGGGGGGGAGGAATAGGGAAGACGAAGAAGAGATGGATAAAGATGTACCATGTTGGTTGCAGGTTAGCTTCCGCAGAGAGAAAAAGAGGGAGAAAAAAAAAGAGACGGATACATTGGAATTACTTCACCATCACCATCACCACTACCACCACAGGCAAAAAAAGAAAACACTATCATCACCAAACACTAACCCCTCCACGCAGATGCTCGTCATCGCCTTCCACGAATTCTCCCACGCAATAACCGCCTGCTGCACCGGCGGCCGCGTCGAATCCATCTCACTCGATCCCCACGAAGGCGGCGTAACGCACATGCGCGGCGGCAAGCAATTCGTCACGCTACCCGCGGGCTACCTAGGCTCCTCTCTCATCGGCGCACTACTCACCTTCTGCGGCTTCAACATTGTGGCCTCCAAAGTCGCCAGCATCGTGCTGGGCGTGTGTTTCCTGCTGACGCTATGGTGGGCGCGCAAGGATTGGCTGACTATCTGCACCATCCTACTCAGTGTCGGGCTGTTGGTTGCGTTTTGGTTTATTGAACATGGCGAGGCGTTGAGGTTTATGGTTGTATGTTTCTCCCTCTCTCCCTCCCCCTTTTTTTTGTTTCCCTTGTCCATTTCTTTCTCTCTTCGATAGAAAAAGAAAAAGAAAGCTAACGCCTTTTTTTTCCAACAACTACCAGCTTTTCATCGGCGTCATGTCCTCGCTCTACAGCGTCTGGGACATCTGCGACGACCTCATCCTGCGCAAAGTCAATTCCTCGGACGCATCTGTCTTTGCAAAGCGCTACGGCGGCTCCTCGCAGTGCTGGGGCGTCATTTGGTCGCTCGTCTCGCTGCTGTTCATGGTCTGTGGTATTCTGGCCGGCCTCGCAGCGTTCAAGCAGAGCTTCGAGCAGCAGGAGAAGGATAGTCAGGGGTTTATTCCCACGGTGCGGTGAGCGTGAGCGTGAGCGTGAGCGTGAGCGTGTGGAGTGGAGTGGAGAGAGGCGGGTTAAGCGGTATGATATGTGTAAGTGCTTTTTTCTTCTTATTTCTTTTTCTAAACTGGATTTGAAGGAAGAAAAAATGGCGTTCTGGGAAATGAGAGGAATGAAGGTAATGAACGGGGATTTATTTACTTGGTTTGCTTGCTGGGTATACCCGACTATGCTATTCTGCCCTATCCTAGCTTGAAAGGGGAGTTTTTTGTTGTTGTTAACGCTATTTCCCATGAGAAAAATCCGTTTTATGAAGTAAAGAGTCGTCTTTTTTTTTGGGGGGGGGGGCATCGTGTGTTTCCTCTTCTTTCATTTGGATGTGGAGTAGTGGTAGTAGTGGTGGTGGTATCTAGCGAAAGAGAAAGACAGAGAAAAAGAGAAAGCAAGCAAGTCATAGGAATTTACACAACCAAAAGATACCAAAAGAAAAAGAAACCCCCCGCCAAAAGTGAAAAGAAGAAGATGAAGCAACCACACCACCCGGAAAACCCCCCAGTTAGTCCAAAGCACCCCACATGCGCCGCGTGAATTCGCCGTCTAGATATTGCATAAACCACCATTCCCCCTTATGCGCTGGACTACTCAAGACCGCCGTGTCCATCCTTCCGACGACATGCAAGCCGCAATCTGTCCGCCGCAATGTTTTTTTTATTCAGCACCCGTCTTGACACCCCGATTTTCCGACGCCGCAGTGACGGCAATATCAGCGCGATCCTTTTGCTCCAGCGACATGCTGCGGACGCGGGCATCAAGGCTATCAACAGGGGACTGTGGGATGGCGCCAACGGATTTGGAGCGTACGGCTTGCAAGACGTTGGAGGCTGAGTCTTCGGAGCCGCGGGGCGGAGCGCCTGTGGTGGAGAGCGAGCGCTGGGGATCCACGGTGGGGGTGGCGTATGGAACGCTATTTGAGCGGTGTTGTTTGTCAGGTGAAGCTGGTGACGAGGATTGTTTGCTTCTATTCCAGGATTTGAATTTGAACATGGAGAGCCAGCTGGGGCGGCGGTCGGTCGATGGGTGCATGTTGAGGGCGCGCTCGGCGGCGAGTTGGATGTGGGATTTCAGTTCGGGTTTGGGCGTAGGTGTGGTGGCCATGGGGGATGTAGGCGTAGAGCGGCTGTCTTGACCAGACTTTCGACGGCTTGTTTCGCTCGACTTTTCAAGATTGGATGTTGCGAGGCCCAGGGTGATGCGGTGTTGGGCGAGGCTGGTTTCTTTGAGCTCCTCGCTGATGTACTGCAGGGCTTTGTCGATGACTTCAATGTACTCTGGGTAGTCGACTTCGCAGGCCTCGCGGATCAGACGCAGCTTCTCCCAGTCGTGGCGTACGGTTGGCCCGCTTAGATCTGGATGCCAGCCCATGCTCTTGAGATCGGATCGGATTCCGCGGTCGACCTGCTCTTTCACGCCCATGAGGTCAATCAGAGCGTCGACTTCGGTGCGCACTAGCTTGATGAATTCGTTGAAGCGCGCCGTGTCCTTGACCTGCCAGTGCGATGTGGTCATGCTGGGGTTGCGCTTGAGGCTCGCGCGCGCACCCGTCTGCGTCAGGAGGTCCTTTAGCAAGCGGTACTTTTCGCGGAAGCCTTCGAGACGATTGGTGTCGAGCGCGGGATACTCGGTCTTTGCAAAAGTCTTTGGGCTCTTCAAGCCATACAGGTTCATCAGTTCGTCTCGGGACATGTTGCTGGGGCGGCCAGCAATTTCATGAAGCGCCCGCCTGACCTTGGCGTTGGTGACCTCTTCGTCCAGCCTGGGGTCGCGAATGCCAAAGTTGACAGGCAGATGGGGGTCAGGATTTGTGGCGCCTGGATGGCTGGGAATCATGTGTCGGGCAATGGTAGCCGGGGGCGCAGAGATGCCCACGGCGTCGCCAAAGATGAGCAGCCTGCCCTGCTGTATGCCGAGCTTGGCGAGCGCAACCTTTTGGGCATGGTCGTGGTCCTTGACAGGGTGAATGAGGTTGAAGGCCTCGACGCAGGTGCTGAACTGGGTGGCCAGAGCGAAGACGTCGGTCAGCATCTGGGCCTTGGACTTGGACCCTGGAGGATCCGTGGATTCGACATAGTCGGTGGTGGGTTTGGTAGACATGGCGATGGGGGTGACGGTGGCGGGAGGGTATGTCTGATGCTGGGTCCACAGTGGCCGCGGACAGTGGAAAGCAAAGGACAGGGCGAGGCGGCCAAATATGTAGAGGCACGAGACGGGACGGCAGAGGCGTAATATTCAGTGCATGTGCGCATGACGTCGGAGGGATTGTGCAGTGTCGAGGTGTGGCGCAGGCGAGAGAGAGAGAGCGAGAGGGTGTGTGTGGACAAGAAGAGCGGGGCGGGGCGATCGACGGGCCGTTTGGCTTGATTGGGTCTTGTCGGCCATGTTGGCAGCACTCAAGCACTACAACTCTGCATGCCACGCCTTGTACTGCATCCTCTCTATGGCTGTGGCGCAACGCGAGCCCACCAAGTCGCCGTGAAAATGCCTCATCCAGCCGCACGCGCGCGAACTGCGCAAACTGCGCGCAAACTTTTTTTTGTTTTTTTTCCTTGTCCCTTTGTGCTGCACCGACGGCCAGAACAGCGGCTAGCCTGCTTTGGGCGCTATGCATTCGCATAATTCGCTGGCCACCTGTCACGGCTTGGAAAAAAAGAAAATCAATTGGCTGATGGCTCGACGACGGCAAAAAGTTTATTACTTCTACACATGGCGCGCCTATTGGCAATTGTTTCATCCACAAAACCACCTCGCCATCTTCCCGCCACGGCTGCCAGAGCCGTCTGACGTCGACGTGGTGCATCTGTCCCTGGTCGCTTCGTATACTCGTACCCTGAACCGCTTGGCACATGACCGCAAACCATGGATTCGACGCGCTGCCCATTGCCGCCATCAGCTTCCCTCCCTACACCTACATGCACCCAGTCGTGTCGATTTCACCATGGATGCGCCGGACGCCATGGCTTGTGCTTCTGCATGGGCGGGTAGCGCCGCTCAAGCGGGACCAGGACAGAACGGTGGCCCTGGATCCATGCCAGCAAATTACCCACCGCTTACCCCTCGACCTCGCACAATGCGTCATGATGCATCTTGCCCACCAGGCACGCACTTTGTTTGACGGCTGAGGACAGCTTGTCGCTGTCGAGGTTGGGGCACGGCATGTGTCCATCGCTAGTATATGCACCCTATTGTGGCCTGAAGAACACTACGCGCATCACTCCAGGCTTGGCACAGGCTCTCGTGATGCATGTTTCGGTGAGACTATGCTGCCATCCAGGTCACGAGGCCACGTGATTCCTCAACTCAGACATGGTAGTAGGGACTCTTGCCTTCGGGCTTGTCCTGGTTGAGGCTCCTTGCCGTTGTTATATCGTCTTGATCGCACGACCCTGTCTCCGTCTTCTGCTGTTGCAACCGGTTGCGCTCGATGCTGAACTCGTTGGTGATGACAATGTTGCTGCCTCGGCGGTTCCACGCACCCGGTCTGCTTGGCGGAGGCACCTCGTCTGGCATGTCGTACTCGTTGTCGCCCTGTGTTTGGCTGTTGTTGTGCGATACGCTGCTCTTATGCGCCGTTCCAGGATGATGGTTGCTGTTCCAAGCCATTTGGTATGACTGCCGCTTGGCGCTATTAGTGTGGGTGGTCAATGCGTGCAACGGGTCAGACAATGCAACACCACCACTAAAATGTCCGCCTATCAAAAATGAGGCTGTAGAGCACCATACAAAAGCTATTATCACGAGATTTTTTGGTGGAGTAGTCTAAATAGTTCAAAAAACAATCCTATCTACTCAAATTTCTTTGGCAGTTTGATGTTGCGGCCGCGCATCGTTGTTTTGGTGGTGGGCTGCGCAGCCGACGATGCAGACGCACCACCACTTTGGCTGCCTGCATCACCACCACCCTTTGACTTTTTTGACTTTTGAGACGATGAAGCTTTTCGTTTAGGTATATTTTGCTTATCGCGAGCTTTTTTTGAAGTTGCGACTGCGCGATCGCGAGCTTTTTGGGCGCGTCTTAACTGGAGTTCTTTGGCCCTCACTTCTCTCTCTTTATCCCTCGCTATTTTCTTCAACTCCCGCGCAGTCCTTGCCGTCGTCTAT